CACCTCCCCCCGCCCTCCCTCCCCTTCCTTCCTCCTCGCCCACGGCGGGCCCTTGGACGAGGCCGTCGTCTCTTTGGGCGGGGGCGTCGCCTTGGCCTTCCTCTGGCGCCTTTTTCAACGGCAGGCTTGCCACCTTAACCACCACACCTATGCTGCCCTCCTTGAATGCGTCCTCACCACCCCTGAGAGCCAGCTGACGCTCCCCTTCTTCTCCCTGCCCCGGCGCGGTGCCTCCGCCTTCGTCCCTTCCTTCCTGCAACCCTCTAAATCCATCATGGACGATTCGGACGAGATCCACAACACCCTTTTCCTCACCTTCCTCCTCAAGCTTCTCCCTTCCTTTCCTCTCCCGCTCCAACAACGGGCTTTGGGCGATTTGCTCCTCCTCCTCCAATTTTCAAATTCAAACCGCTCGGCCTTTCTCTCGGTGGCGGGGTGGCAAGTTCCGATCTTCTCCCTTTTGGCCCCATGCATGCAGAGGGGAAGAGAGGATGCGGAAGGAGCAGGGACGACGGTCGAAAAGGCCGGGAGCCTGAGAGGAGAGGAGGAGGAAGGGCAACGAGGGGATGAAAGAGCAGGCATGGAGAAGAGAGAGGGGAGAGAGAATGATTCCTTCAGCCTGCTCTATGACCCCGCGGACGTCGGCAATGATGAGGTGATGGATGTGGAGTGGAGTCTGCTGCCAACGGTCGAGCCTCGGGGAGGGGGAGGAGCCAGGGCCAAAAAGAGCGCGGAAGGTCCGTCCCTCCCCATCACGTCGTCGGCGAGGGCCATGAGGCCCGTGGCCGCGGTCCATGAAGGGAGAGGAGAGGAGGAAAAGGAGGAGGAGGAGGAGGAGGAGGAGGAGGGGAAATCATGGGCCCGTGAAAAGAAGGTTCAGGACGGCATCCCTCTCTTGGCGATGGGCCGACGGCTCTACCTCCTCCTCCTCCTCCACGCACTTCACCTTCCCCAGGGATGGCGGGAGGTGGCGCGGGCCTTGTCCTTCGTCCAGGCGGCTCCCTCCTCCCCCTCTCCTTCCCCTCCCACCACGGACCCTGAGAAGAGGGCGAAGCGGAGTTTTCTCCTCTCCCTTCTGTCGGGACTCATGCGGAAAGTTCTGGCAGAAGTGGGGGGAGAGGAGGAAGGGGAGAGAAAAGGATGGAACAGGAAGAAGGATTCTGCTGTTTTCCTCAAAAATCTGTCGCATGTCTGCTTCCTTGCTGAGGCCTTCGTCACCACCTGTGAGGTGCAGAAAGGGGAGGAAGGTAACGCCATGGCTTTGTCTCTCCGCGGTCTGCCGCCTGAAACGTGGGCGAGGGGGGGAGAGGAGAAGGGAGGGGTTGGGCAAACAGGAGGAGGTCGGGTCCCAGGGGGATGGGCCCGGTTCTGTGA